TGAGATAGGCGCCATCACGACTGGTGAGATTTTAGGTCGTGACACTTGATGTAAAGTAGATGGAACATCATCCATATCATGAACCCAAGGCTTGCCAAGAATCATATTATACGCCATGTCCATATCTATCACTTGGAATTTCGTATCTTTGACAACTCCTTCTGCAAATGTGGCAAGCATTATTTCTCCTTTTGTAACAACGCTTGAATTGTCAAGTCCAGATAAGGTACGTGCTTTGGGCACCATTTTGTCATCAGCTTGCATCTTGTTTACCACCCTCAGAAGGATGATATTTACGGAGCTACCTGGGTCAATCAAAACTCGTTTCACATTAGTATCATGTACAAGTAAAGATATTATCAGTGCATCATTGTGAGGGGTCATCACGCCATCTGCATCTGCATCATCAAATGTTATACTGTCTTCTTCCAAAACTTGGCGAACTCGCTTTCTGTGGGTAACTGTGACTTTTGATGTCTTTTTTGCAGCCGTATATGTCACACCATTGACCTCCTCACCTCCGCTTATCACATTAACCGTCCTTTTTGGTGATGGAGGTTTTGGTGGCTCTTGTCTATTCTTCGTATACGTTTGCTTACCCTTCTCACTATACAAATCAGTTAAATAACCTTATTTTAGAAAATGCTCTATTTCACCTAGTAGCAATCTGCAATCTGCTATTTTATGGCTGTGGTCGTTATGAAACTCGCACCAAAAATCTGGATTTCTTCTGCTAGGGTTCGATCTCATTTCTTTTCGCCACCGTACCTTATCTCCCATATGTCTTAAAACAACTACCAATTCAGAAGTGCTAACATTGAAATTGTAATCACCAAACTTTGCCTTTGTGTTAACATTGTTGTCCTGAGCATCTCGCTCTTTCTCGAACTTGGATGATGAACCCGCGTCTCTGTCTCTTGATCTAGAACCATCCCTTAGATTTTCTTGTTTTGAGCGTGAATCCCGTCCTGCTGGTCCCATATAAGGTTCATACATGTTCTTACCGAACTTTTTTTCGGTTTCTGGTCGCCTCAAACTTGTTCTTTCATCACCCATTGACTGAGTGATAGTGTCTTCTTCTATTCGCAGCTTCGTACTGTACTTGTTGTACACATCATTCCAAGTTGTAGCAGGAAATTCTCGTAAGCTTTCCTTAAGTCTCCTCGTGGCTTCCGAGCTTTTTTCATTTAAGTTTCTCGCAAATGCCATGGTCGCCTAATTGTCAGGTATGCATGGTAACATTATTCTTTCACGTTGAAATCTATCCACAAATTCCCTAAGTAACTCCGTATCTCCTTGTTTTATTTTGAAGATGTCTTCCATTCTCTTCTCAACCTTTTGAGCTCCCGAGTGTGCTTTTATAAATGAATCTACAAGCTCAGCAAAAGAATCAATAGAATTTTCTGGTAAAAGAGAATACCATGTTAGTGCTCCTTTCGTAAGTGTTTCACCAAATATTTTGACCAGCACTGACTCAATTTCTTTCTTGGTTAAATCATTGCCTTTCATGCCAGTTGTAAACGCAGTTACATGATCCCGTGGGTCGGTCGTTCCATCATACTTTGGAATATCGGGCATTTTAAACTTCTTCGGTATCGGCAAGGGAGTTGCACTTGGCTTCCAGGGCTGTTGTGAATATTTGTCAATATCCACTCATTTAATCACGGGTGGCACACCGGGTATTTGTTCTATGCGATCGTTCTGTTCCTTGAGTTGCTTCTGCAAAGTTAGTACTAAACTTTGTAAATTAGAATTATTTGGTGTACCTGACCTTCCATCGCAAGATTCACTAGGAGTTCCTCCGCTTCCCGAATTAGCAAGTCCCGAACGTGGGTTTTCTATAGTTGCAGTGTTGTTTGGAAGTGGAGTTGGTGGCGTAGTTGGCAATCCACTGACAAAAGCTTGAAGAGCATTGTTGACGTGTTCCACAATTAGTTATTTTAATGCGTCCTCGGCAGTTTGCCCGTCCTCTTGTTGATCATTCGTGTGCGATGTTGATCTTTGAGGTGTCCCCTCCCGGTACTGTCGAGGTGAGTTTTGAGGTAAAGGGATTGGAGTTCCTCCCTCCTGTTGGTTTTGTTGGCTCAGTTGGTTGTTGTCGTTGGCAGTTGACATGATTGTTTGACAGAAAAGTGAATTTGAAAAGTGAAAAGATCATCAGATTCCCGGTAACAGAACTAATTTGTTTAACCAAAAATATATCTTTCGATCAAAATCTAAGTTTAGAAGAAAATGGATTTTTGATAACCAAGTTTTGCTTCACTTTCTCAATAATATCAAAGGAAAATAACAAGAACAACTAAGGAAATAATTGATTGCCAAGTCAAGGTAGAGAATTTCGAGAAAAGCAGAAAAGTAAAGTATATATTTCAATATTGCATAAGATGTCCTTACAAATAGAATTATATGCCCTTATATAGGAATACACAATAGTAACGTTTTTCCCATAATTTGGGCTAATTATGGGCATTAATGATATTGATTGTCCATTATTTTGGATTCTCATAACCGATGCATTTATTGCTATAAATGCCTTACATCTGTTACGATTCCCCTTCTTTCTACTATTTATTCATTCTCTTCCGGCCGTTAGGCCCGGTGCCATCTCGTGGGTATTTCTTCTCGTGCCTTCTCTTTTCCTATCAAATAAGATTGCCACGTGTTGCTATATTATTGTTCCATGCGTTATGCCATGTCAGTGGTCTAATATTCCACGTGTAGTTCATTTTCACCACCAATACAGAATGGTCCAATAAATTTTATAGCTCATAAAGGTAGTAATTAAAATAAACTTCACATCAATACTAGTGCTAACAAAGAAAATTCAATTCAATACTAGAAATGACAATAGTGTTGGATATCTATTTTTTAGTTTTGCATTGATTTATAATGAAAATGCATGTATTAGTTTATCTTTTTCTTTAGTACTTAGTTGTGTAATTAATATACTTATAGTTGTATTTATTTTAGCATGACTTATATAGTACTTTTAGATTATATTTATTATGGATTATTACTTAGTAATATTTTCTTTATGAATTTTATTATCTTTGTTATTGAATATTTTTGTACAATGCTATGACTCATCTCATATTATTTGTATTATTTTCTTGCAAAAATACATTATATAGTTGTATCCTACTAGGACTAAAGAAATATATGGAGCACAAGTTATATATTTTGTGCTATGAAGACTTATCGGAAGAAAAAAAAAATCGAAAACCCGAAAAAAAACCGAAAAACAAAGATTGAATAACCCGACTTTGTTAGTTTGATTTGGTTTATAGATTTAAAAATCCGACACCATTGATTTAGTTTGGTAATTAAAAAATTCGAACCGACCCGACCTATGTACACCCGTATGTATGTATGTATGTATGTATGTATGTATGTATATTTCTGCATGTTATATACAAAAAATATATAATTTTTATATACTTTTGCGGCTACCGGATATAAATAGTTTCGATCGCGGGCTAATAGTGATCTTTGCCTAGATTTTCGGGGCATGTGCACAAATAGCCATTTTTAGGGATGCTATTTAGATATTAGCTAGTACGTATTTTGTCCTGAAATTTTAAACTAATAATTTTAATTTCAGGACAACTCAGAATATTTTTGTTCTAAAAATTTTAACTAAAAAACTGAAATTCAGGACGCACTGACTAATTCCTAAATATCATCCCTTTAGAGTGGCTACCTGATGTCATTTCTATTAGATTTTCTTGTCCATCGACATTGAAAATATTGAAGTATACCCAACTTGAAAGATACTCTAGACGGAATTTTGGTAACTAATTATCACAGAATTTCAACTAGCTACTTAAAAATATTTTAAATTGGAATGAGACCGAAAAAGGTGGATATAAAAGTGTCTTCATATTAAAAGATGGATAATATTATTCTGAAATTATTGAAAACTAGTCAAGCACATCTCAAACCAAAGTTTTGATATCCCAAAACTTGTTCGGCCTTATGAAATGTGCAGAAATATCCATAAGTATTATGTATACTCAAAGCGACAAAAAGTATTTATTATATAAACTTAATAATGTAGCATAATAGAAAAGCTTTTGTGTGCTAGCTATTAGTTACAAAAAGGGTAAATTCAAAATATTTAGGGAAAGTGACATTGTATAGCCGCTCTCAAAATATTAATGCATTAGGATATGATGTCTACATTACACCCCTTGGGGTGTGGCCTTCCCCGGACCCTGCGTAAAGGCGGGATGTCTTGTACACCGGACAGTCTTTGATAGTCACTCTCAAAATAATAACCGAAAAAATATATATTTTTGTATATATACATTTCTCTATGTTATATACGAAAAATATATAATTTTTTATATTTTTTTGCGGCTATCAAATATAAATAATTTCTGTCGCGGACTAAAAGTGATATTTGCCCTATGCAAGTTAAGCGAGGCTATTTAAGAAGCTTTGGTTGTTAGATTTAAGAAGAAATCAAGAAGCTAGTATCTTAGCTGACAACCATGAATAATCAAAGTGTGAATTTAAATTAATAAAGCATTAACAGAAGCCATAAATTTAACACACAAAATTAATTCTATGGTGCGAACCAAACTTTATCACAATCCACTATCCAGTCCATTATGCAAGCAAAATGAAAAAATAAAAAAATAAAAACTGGCAAATTCAACCATACCCAATAAAAGAATTCTAGACTTTAATGCATACTGAAATAAAAGCCTAGCTATTTCTCTACCGTTACGTACAACTTTAGGCAGACAAAAATTATTTTTTCTTCTTTTAACATAGGCGGATAAAACTAAATTTCTGCACGAAATATTGAATTCTACGGACCAAAAGAACAATTATTTTTAGTCGAAATCATCTTTGACATAGTTGTTTGAAAGCAAATGGTTTTGTCATATCAAGATCGAAACTTGCATTGTTTTTTTTAAGAGAAGAGATAAACTGCTATTAAAGAAAACACGTTCTCATAATTATGTATGCATCTCAACTCTGAATGAGGCAAACTGGTAGTAGTTGAAGCTATTTAATGCACATCATTAATGTAAGAGCAAGACACTGAAGTTTTACTGCAAGAAAATGCAAGTATATAAAGCCCTTTACCTCTTAATGCCATTTGCTCAAATCAGTTGTCAGAAAACAGAAAAAGGTCACGCAATTCAAAATTATTCCTTGAAGATGATAGGTCGGGGATTAAGGGTGGGGGTGTTAGCATTGCTTTGTTTTCATGTTTTTGTAGGGAGTGTGGCTCTCGGTAGAAATGTGAAAGATGAGGATGAGAAGTTTCTGTTTAAGGGAGGAGGATTTGGTGGTGGTTTTGGTGCTGGTGGAGGTGTTGGAGGTGGATTTGGTGGTGGGGGTGGTGGAGGTTTTGGTGGTGGTGATGGAGGTGGTATTGGTGGTGGAGCTGGTGGTGGGTTCGGAAAGGGTGGTGGAATAGGTGGTGGAATTGGGGGCGGTGCAGGAGGCGGGGGTGGTATAGGTGGAGGCATTGGTAAAGGTGGTGGTATTGGAGGAGGAGCTGGTGGCGGTGCAGGAGGGGGTATTGGTGGTGGTGCAGGAGGTGGTATTGGTGGAGGAGCTGGAGGTGGCAAAGGAGGAGGAATTGGTGGTGGTGCTGGTGGAGGATATGGAAAAGGTGGTGGCATTGGAGGAGGTGCAGGTGGAGGGAAAGGTGGCAGCATTGGTGGCGGAGTTGGAGGAGGAGCTGGTGGTGGTGCAGGAGGCGGTATTGGTGGGGGAGCTGGAGGTGGCAAAGGAGGAGGAATTGGTGGTGGCACTGGTGCAGGTGGAGGATATGGAAAAGGTGGTGGCATTGGAGGAGGTGCAGGTGGAGGGAAAGGTGGCGGAGTTGGTGGTGGTATAGGAGGAGGAATTGGCAAAGGTGGTGGAATTGGAGGGGGAATTGGAAAGGGTGGAGGTGTTGGAGGGGGTATAGGAGGAGGAATAGGAAAGGGTGGTGGCATAGGTGGAGGAGCCGGTGGTGGTATCGGAGGCGGAATTGGAAAAGGTGGTGGTATTGGAGGTGGTATCGGCAAAGGTGGCGGCATTGGCGGAGGAGTCGGCGGTGGAGCCGGTGGTGGTGTTGGAGGTGGAATTGGAAAAGGTGGGGGAATTGGTGGTGGTATTGGCAAAGGTGGTGGTGTTGGTGGCGGCATTGGTGGAGGAGCCGGTGGTGGTGTTGGAGGTGGGATTGGAAAAGGAGGTGGCATTGGAGGTGGTATTGGCAAAGGCGGCGGCATTGGCGGGGGAGCTGGTGGTGGTGTTGGAGGTGGAATCGGCAAGGGTGGCGGCATTGGAGGTGGAATCGGCAAGGGTGGCGGCATAGGTGGAGGAATTGGTGGTGGCGTAGGTGGAGGTGCTGGAGGTGGAATTGGCAAGGGTGGTGGCTTTGGCGGAGGAATTGGTGGTGGTGCAGGAGGAGGAGTTGGTGGAGGTGCCGGTGGTGGTTTAGGCGGAGGATTTGGAAAGGGAGGCGGCATTGGTGGAGGATTTGGTGGTGGTGCAGGAGGAGGAGCTGGTGGTGGCATTGGAGGAGGTGCCGGAGGTGGATTTGGAGGCGGATTTGGTGGAGGAGGTGGTTTAGGTGGAGGAGCCGGAGGTGGTTTTGGCGGAGGAGGTGGTGGAGGAATTGGAGGATATCACTAAACATCCTCCAGTTAATGAAGTAAACATAGAATTAAGCATGTATACCATTGCTATTGTCATTAAATTTTCGAAATTACTATTCATGAGTAATATTATATGAAATGAATCAAATTTCTCTTCTATTCGTTAATAATATGCTTACATGTAATATTCTCTTCCTTTATCATTGCACGTCAACCTCTATCGATGCATGGAACTGAAATACATGTTGCTTTATGTGCAAGAAACACTGGGACCAAAATGAATATCATAAAACAGAAAACTAATTACATCCAAATTTCAACAGCTTTGGTTGTTCTTCCCATTTTTTGATAAGTTTGGAAGGGGGACTGGACTGGAGTAGTTCAAATTCTTAGCTAATTGGCACACCATTTCGATGTGGTCTCTTTTGCATTAGGAGGCAACAAATTTATCATTTCATTGAGAATATTACTACTAGCTAGTATTTTAAGTGCTGCTCTTTAATGGAGTGATAGGTATAATAAACTTTTGTAAAAGTTAATGTAAGTTTCACTGTTCTTTGTTGTTGCCCTCTATATTTCTTCGCAATGAAAGGTAAAAGCTATAAATGAGGCTTAATTTAGAATTCGAGGGAGGGATTACTTAAATGTCTTGAATTAATATATAACGTGACGGATATTTCAAGATTGTTAAAGAAGACTTTTTCATTAAAATACAAACCAACCAACATAATTAATATGCACAAGTTGGATGGGATCATAAAATTCAGGGGATTTGACTCTAAACCGTTTCATTCAATATTAATTGCCTACGCAATGCACACGTCGAATTGGAACATCAACTCTCTCGTCCAATAAAAAGAGGAATGAGAGACCTGAAATTTGGGAGTGGCCACAAACTTGGTGTACTCTTCGACTCGAGACACTTTTTATGTTTCAAATTGAATTTATAATCTGATGGAAAATACTCGAAAAAGAATAAACCAGATTGTGTTGTCGGCGGGCGGACGTACATTTAATGAAGCGATTTTACGCTACACTATTTTGTCGGAAAATTTTACTAAATATGTATTAATATTGTGAGGAAACGAATAAGAATGACACCGCTTTGACATATATTATCTTTTGGCGTGTTGGTTATGTACTTGCTCTAAGAGTCAGAGGTTCGAACCTGATCTAGCATGTTTGGCAAATATTTGAGAGAGCCTTTATGGTTAAAAATTATGATTAAACATAATTGAATTGTGGACCTCTTCTAACTTAAGACTCAACAATATCAATAGACTAAAGTTATTTCTTGTTTAAAAGTATGATAGTTAAAGTTATTTATTCTCCTTCGTTTATAAATTTCCACACTGCTTAAAAAAATTTATTCATACGCCCCTGTTGTCGATTGGCTTTTCTATCTTAAAGACCAGAGAGATATGGATGCAATTTGGACATAGAATATGTATGATAATATGGCTTTTCAAACAGCTGCTCTTTGTATTTTTCCTCGTCAGGAATATGTATGATTTTCAGGTTGATGTACTGATTTTCTTGGAAAGCTTTAGATTTTTCGCAAAGGAATATACAAAGGAAATTGACTAGTATTATCTCCCACTTGGTTTCACTTCAAATCAGAGGCGGACCTACACTTAGGTTAGGGAAGTCACTGGTTTTCAATAATTTTGGAAAAAAATGCATGATATATATCTATATTTTGGGTGTCACTCTAAAACTCAAAGTTTAGCGGGTTCGATTCCTACTACGTTATTTACTCAAATTTTTATACGATAATTGTGCCCCACCACTTTCAAATCATGGCTCTCGCAAAGTCATTATTCTTCATTTTCCTATATATGTATTTCATTCCAAAAAGTAGAAATGAAAAGGAAAAAGGAACGAGGAAGTACAAGTGCAAACCCCACGGAAAGGTGAAAAAAAGGAACCTTTTAATCAAAATTGATACTTTATTTTTAAAAAAGGTTAAAAGGAACTATTTGTTATTGTCAAAAAACAATTAATTATTCATTAATTGAGATAGATTATTGCTTGGATGTGGGTTGATTGTCATTATGAAAACCTTCATTTTTGTTATGTGCTGGATTGACCAAAATCAAGAAAGAGATGAAGGAATATTTGAAACGTAATTTTTACAGGTGAAGTGATTAATTATTTAGGGTGTGTTTGGTACGAAAGTAAATATTTTTCATAGAAAAATGTTTTTTATAGAAAATATTTTTATGAAAAATGAGTGGTTTTATCACTTATTTCTCCTTGTTTGGTTGGTGAGTGAAAAAATTTTTCCGGAAAATATTTTTTAGTGTTTGGTTAGATAGTAGAAAATATTTTTTTATGCTACTCTCTTCGTCCCCTTTCCCAAATTTTCATGTTTTTTTGCTCCCTCAAATACCCAACGTTTTCAGGACTCTATTTCAAACCATTACGTTCTTTCTGAAAGATCTCACTGGTGGCCAACCCACCACTTGTGCCCGGCAGTAATACAAAAATTCAAAATATTTTTTTAGAAATTAATTGTATAAAATTTACACTTAGTTTTAGGAAATAAAAGAAAAGGGATTACATCGACTTTTGTTTTAGTCAGAACTGCTCATATGACAAAAATACAATTGTATACGTCACATCGTCAAACCATTTCGTTTTCTTTCTTTAAAAAAAAAATCTATACACACTAGTATTAAATATGGAGAAAAAATGGCTAAACTTTTACTATTTTTTTTAGTGATTAAATTCTGTTTAACCAAGGTATATGATAGTAATACTCATTAATTAACAATGGAGCTAGAAGCCTATAGTTGAACTTGTTTGCAGTGAAAATTAAACTGTGGCAGAAAATGCATTTCTGAATAATCCTCAATGTACTACTATCCATCAGATAACGTTAAAAATCATAAAAATATCAAAGAAAATACTATTAATAATATATTTATTTAAGGTGGGGGTGAAGGCGAGGGTGAGGGTGGGGCGGTGTGAGTTAGTGGGGATGAGGAATAGGTGGGGAAGCTGTGTAAAAGAGTTTTGGAAAATATTTTCCCTTCTCTTGATAGGGAAAATATTTTTCTCCAATTGGAGAAAAATGAGTTCTTGAGGAAAATATTTTCCAAAACATTTAACGGCTTGTTTGGATAGTTATTACCTATTGTATTGTATCGTATTGTTACTTTAAATACGATGTTTGTTTTGATTGTTACTTAAATTTTATTATATCGTATCGTTAAATCTGTCATTACGTAACGACGAAATGTGACACTTTATGTAACGACTGATTTGATGTGGTCGTGTCGTTACCTTATCTTTTTCTCTCAATTTCTCCCTTCATTATTATTAAATAATTTTATTTTATCATTTACCCTACCTTTTATATAGTAATTTTATCTCGTATCATAATTTTTTTTATAATATTGCAAGTTTATTCTTCATATTGCTAGTGCGTGATATCATGAAATGATGACAAACGACACAATCTATCCAAACATTGTATTCATCAAACGATATAGTACAATACAACACTGTAATGACCCGGCCGGTCGTTTTGAGTATTACAATCTTGTTCATGCTTTATAGTTGTTATATGACTTACCCGGGTAATTGGTTTGGGCCTAGTGAGGTTTTGAAATGAATTCAGACACTTAGTCTCCAAGATGGAAGCTTAAGTTGAAATAGTTGACCGAAAGTTGACTTATGTATAAACGACCTCGGAATAGAGTTTTGATGATTCCAATAGCTCTATATGGTGATTTCGTAGCTAAATTGGGCTTACAATGGCGAAAATAGGAAATTTAAGTTTGGAAGTTTGACAGGGGAGTTGACTTTTTGATATCGGGGTCGGAATTCAATTCTGAAAATTGGAATAGGTCTGTTAGGTCATTTATGACTTGTGTGCAAAATTTGAGGTCAATCGAACTTGATTTGATAGGTTTCGGTGTTGAATGTAGAAGTTGAAAATTCTTAATTTCAGTAGGCTTGAATTGGGGTATGATTCGTGGTTTTAACGTTGTTTGATGTTATTTGAGGTTTCGACTAAGTTCTTATCGTATTTTAAGACTTGTTGGTATGATTAAATGGGGTTCCGAGGGGCTCGGGTATGTTTTGGATCACTAGTTGAGAAACTACTTAAGTTAAGGATTTGGAATTTGACCATGGTCAATATCGGGTCAAGATGACCTCTTTTCGGTGTTTTGAGTGCGCGAGCAGGTTCGTAGTGTATTTTATGATTGAAACGCATATACGGTTTGTGTGCGGGAGGTACTGAATGAGTTTTGGGTGCTAAAACGAAAATTCTTTCGTTGCTGATTTTCTGGTGTAAAATAATTACGAAAATGTCATTTTTATCCCTTAAATTTCCAGATTTCATTTAAATCTTCAAAACATCATATCTTCCTCATTTTTAAGGCCAAATTGGGTGATTCAAAAGTCGAACTTGACTGAAATTTCCTAAGAAATCCATTGGAGGCATCAAAAGAGAATTTCATGATTGTTTGGTACACGAAACGAGGCAGAACAACATAAGCATGTAATGATCCAAAGGTTCATTTTTCGTTCTAGAGATCGAAATTCGATTTCGAGACTTTCGGGAGTTTGATAATGAATTATAGGAATGATCTGGAAAGTTTAGTCTAACTTCATCAAGTTGCTATTGGGTTTTTAGCGCGAAACGTGAGTTAATTATTTAACAAGCGAAATTGGTATCGCATTGAGCAAATGAGCTCCGAATTGAGTTTCGATTAAAGGACTAGGTTCGTATTATTATTTGTGACTCATAGGAACAAGACTCATCGAATTCCGAGTTCGTATGATGGAGTTAGAGCTTTTTTAGTGAAAATAAATATTGTTGGTGCAACAGGTTCTGATGCGCACCTTTAGCGACCAGATTTGGCACTTCTAGCGACGGGAATTGAACTTTTAGCGATCACAATATTATTTTTATTGAGCAGTTTTGTTTTTATAGCTCATTTCAATATTTTTGGACGAAAGAACATGGCTTGGGGCGATTTTTGAGTGAGAAATCACGAGAAATCTTGAGGTAAGTCACTTGTGATTATTTCTACTCCATAATATTGAATTATCATCGAATAATCCGACTAGATTACATGATTTTGAGGTGTAAATCGGGGATTTGGACCTTGGGATTTAAAAATAAGATTTGAGGATTTGGAGGTCGAGTTGATGTCAGAATTTGGTAAAATTAGTATGGT